CGAAGGCAGACGTCCAACGACTGAGCCACCCAGGTGCCCCTTTACTAAATTTTTATTAAATTTTTAATATTTTTAATAAATATTAAATATTATAAAATAATACTCATATGTTATTTTATACAGATATAGATCAGAAAGCACATCGGGGATGAATTGGCACTTGAGATGGGTCTTTAAAAGTTGACAGGCCTTCCACAAGAAAGAGAAAGTGGAAAAAGCATGTCAGGAGAATAATTATGAACAAAGCAGAGAGAAGTACAAGGCAATTTCAAATCACTGGCAGAGGGGTATCATGTAGGGGTAGAGAAGAAAATTAAACATTTGCTAAATAACCGGTGCTTACAGATTTTCATAATTTCAGGTAAGTCAATCCCTACCTTAATCAAGAGCCTCATTATTTCTTGCTTGAAACAATTAAGAGCATCCTAATTGTCTCCCTGCTTTTGGTATCCCCCTCCCCCTTGCAAACTATCATCCATATCACTGCCAGATTAATTTTGAAGATTTTATTTATTTACTTAAAAGAGAGAGAGAGACAGAGATAGTGAGAGAGCACAAGCAGGGAGGAGAGGGAGAAGCAGGCTCCCTGCTGAGCTGGGAGCCTGACGTAGGGCTCAATCCCAGGACACTGAGATCATGACCTGAGCCGAAGGCAGACGCTTAACTGACTGAGCCACCCAGGCGCCCCTGCCAGTTTAATTTTAACAAAACACAATTACGATCCTGAAATGCCTCTGTTAAAATTTTTCAGTGACTGCCAACTATTCACAAAATAAAGCCTAAACTCCTTACCATAGCATTTGGAGTTCTTCACAATTAAGATCTCTCCCAGCCTTGTCCCTCAAAGCCTCTCTCATATCCTTAATTCAAACCATACAAAATGATTCTCCTGTCTTTTGTACATTCGATACATCTCAAGCTTCCCTTGCTTATGCTGGGTTCTGTGCATGAAATTCTCTCACATCCCAAATTCCACTCAGCAATCTTTCACTCATCTTTCAAGACTCTACTCAAGTATCATTTCCTATGTGAAGCCTGCCTGACAATTCTCTCCTCTAACAGTGTTGAAGCTTTTCCAATTTCATATAGCACTTTTCCAATTGCACTTGAATTAGCTGTTTCCATACTCCTCTCTAAGCAGACTACATCAAGAGCAAAGCAAGGAACCCATTTCACCGAACATTTTGTATTCTCAGTGCCTAACATAGTGCCTGACAAGAGTAGGTATTTAATAAGTGTTTACAGGGAGAAGGAAATGAATGGATGCAGGCAAAGGTATTACTCACTTAATGCTATACCGTGAAGAGACTTTACTACTAGCGTAGTTTGTCCTTACTTTGGCAGGCCAAGAGAGTCACTGACAGTACATGCAGAATTATCTTTCAGAAGATTTCAGCTGGCAGTAATATGGAGAGGGAAATGGAGTGAAGAGAGGCACAAAGCTGGGAGAGCCCTGCAATATTTTAGTGGAAATGTAACAGACGGGCCTAACCTTGGATGGTGATGGGGGGACTGGGAAGGGGAGGACAGAAACATTCACAGCACATTACAGAGGCCAACAGACGGGAACGGATCGCAGACTGAGGGCAGGAAGGAAAAAATGAGGAATCAGATTCAGCACTGAGACTCTGAATATGGGTGACAGAGAGGTCCAGTAACAGACATGGGAAGCCTGGTGTGAAGCAAGCAGCTGGAAATACGGGCCCGAAGGCTGGAGAGAATGTCACAACTGAGATGTAAGGTTGAGAGAGATCACTTTAGAGGTGACTGTTGAAATGAGATTAGGAAAAACCTAAAGAAGAAACAGAAAAATTTCAAAGATAAAACCTTGTGGAGGTTGTTATTTAAGAGCAGGAGGAGAAAAAAAAAGAAATTATGAAGGCGTAATTGAAGAAGTAGAAGTAGAACACAGGGTCACAGAAACCAAGAGAATTGCAAAAAAGGGAAAATGACAACTACTACAGTGATCAAAAGAGTATGAAGCCTAATAAAAGACAATTAAAAAGTCGTAAGTATTCTTCAAAAGAGCAAAGACACCAGTGGGGCAGGGTGAGAAAAAAAGAGTGCACGCTAAGGAAGCATCAGCAGGGAGCAAAGCCAACTACTCCAGGAAGAAAAGTACAGACTACTTCATAGTGTATGTCCTATTCATTTTTCTAAAATACAGATTCTTGAAGAATTCAAACCCTTTCCCTGATAATCTGAGTCTGTAAATTGATTGAAAATAATGAAACTGACTTCTCTGTACATACAGTCTTAGAATGGCTTCTTCTCTCCCATCCCTGGTGTTAATGCAGCTCCTGCTTCTTTAAATAAATTCTATCTCCAAAGATCTATATTTTAAGACATTTTTATTCTGAATTCTATAATGTGTGAAAGTTTCAAAATAATATAAACATCCATTTTTTTATATAATCCATCATTCTGAACTCTGCTTGGTCATCTTTAGAGGGAATAAATATATCTCTATATATCATCTAATGCTTATTTTCTATAACTAGAATGAAGAAAGTGCTATCAATAATAAATATCTTTTATTCCTGAAGAGGTTCAACATTTATAAGAAGAGAAAAAACATATTAGAACTACTTATGAACTCATAAGGAGGTCATTAAAGAAACTACAGAAGCTAAAATAAAGTTGCAGCAGTAATACATACAGAAGGACTATTTTCAATTTTTTTCTCCCTTCCAAGATTTTATTTAAATTCAAGTTAGTTAACATATAGTGTAGTACTGGTTTCAGGAGTAGAATTTAGTGATTCATCACTTAACACGCAACACCCAGTTGCTCATCGCAGCACATGCTCTTCTTCTTAATGCCCATCTCCCATTTAGCCCATCCCCCCCACCCACCTTCCAGGACTATTTTCAATTGTTAACAAATGAAAATGTCCATGTTATTCTAATTATTTTCTTAAAAGTCTTTTCCTGGGGTGCCTGGGTGGCTCAGTCGTGAGGTGTCTGCCTTTGGCTCAGGTCATGATCCCAGGGTCCTGGGATGGAGCCCTGTATCCGACTCCCTGCTCAATGGGAAACCTGCTTCTTCCTCTCCCACTCCCCGTGCTTGTGTTCCCTCTCTCGCGCACACTCTCTCTCTGCGTCAAATAAATAAATAAATAAAATCTTTTAAAAATAAATAAATAAAAGTCTTTTCCTTACCTCAGAGATGTGGCTTGATAAAACTGTACTTCCAATTTTCTCCAAACAGCTTTGATCTATGCTTCCATCTCATGAATTCCAAGACAGTATTAAACTGATGCATATTTTCATCAATCTGTTAAAAAAAAAAAAAAGAACTTACTTAGACTAAAACATGTGGAAGCAATATTAAACATTTGTCAGGTGTAAAATTATACATTTTTGACATAAAGTCAATGAAAATTCTAAAGTACTTTAACCTATCACTTTACCATTTTCCCAACCTCTGCACAAAGAAGTTTCCCATTTTGCATATTTTCAACTTCACAAACGTAACAATAGTTCTGTGGAAAAAATTACTCGCATGTAAAATTTCCGTATTAGCTTGAAAAACAGGAACAGCTAGAAGCAACACTAAAATTTATAATTCTACAATATTCAAATTCCTACTTAGGCAAAAATATATTTGACCACTCACCTAATATCCCTATTTTCACTTTTTACCACCAAAATCTCAGTAAGCAGTTTTAATTTCAGTCAACCTGCTACCTCGAATATTAAGAACTGAAGGGGTCAGGAATTAATGGCACTGCTTGGTCTAAGCCCAGGGGATAGGTTACAACTACGTTACCACTGACGTTCAGTTCCCCTGCTGCTTTGAGACAGAGTTCATAAATCCAAAAGAGAGAAATAATAAAAAATTTTGATTTAAAAAGGCATGTTGTTTACTTAGAGATTTTAAAAATAATTTTGTTGAATGTATCTTTTAACTGAAACTTCAAATAGCAAAGTACTGTTTCATATTTTAAAAGGAAAAATTTTAAGCTGTGTGAACACTACCTATGTCCCACTGCAAGGTCAAAATGCCTTTGTCTTCAAGTCCATTTAGAAGTATCACTTGTGTCATACTGAGGTCTAGTAGTCTTGGCAATAATGACTGAATTCATGTAAACTGGGGCAACCTGAACCGGTCTAGCATATCAGATAGCAGCCTTTCTTAAACACAAGAGTCTCCACTCGGCAGACAGGCTGCCACAAGACCATGCTAAATCTTTCATGGTCCAACTAAAGACAGACTGACCCTGAAAGCAATTAGTAATGCTTTGTCTGCATGTAGGAGCCTTAAATAGTCTTCTCAATGCACCAGTTACCCACAACTTAACTGGGTACTCACAGGACTATAAAACTCAGACCATCACTCAGAGAAGTGAGGGCAGGAATGGAGATATGGTGTTTAGTGATTTTTTCCTGAGATGTTCATAGTCTTAAAAAATGTCCCTTAGATAATCAAAAAATAAATGCACTGTGTTTTGATTTTAGAAATGACAAATATCTTCCTCCAAAGCCACTCTTGGCCAACAACTCCATTCTTCTCTAACAGTGTATGTGGAAGAAAAGAGGGAAGGCAATCACCATATTAAACAAAGCTCAGATTAACCCATTCTCATAAAGGTTGAAACAATCCATCAAAAGGACTATGTTTAAAAATATATGGCCCGATTCTAATTCCACCAGTTATTTCCAATGAATCAAATAAAATTTGACCATCTACTAACCATTGTTTATCATGGCACTACTTATTACAATATTATGAACTTGTGTTTAACAACCACGAAGATCTAGTCAAAACTGAACACTAAATAAGTATAATAATAATTTTCATCAAAGATTTTGTGTCTAAAACTTTCAAGCCTGTTAGTTCTAGAAAACATATTAAGGAAAAGGTAATTCTTTTAAAAACACATCAGGTCTTCTTAACAACAGAATAAGTGAAAAATCAAACCTTTCTAGATATATTCTAATATTTTATAATTGAGCTAACATTAGAATTTCCTCAAAGTTCGTAAATATTTGCAAACAAATATGAAAAGTGCATTTTAATCCCACATTGTCTGTACAAAATGCCTTTATTTGCCATCAAAATGTACACATCCCTCTTGGCTTTCAAATTATTAAAGTCGTTAAACTTTAAACCACCAAGATACTTAAAAGATCATTAACCATACAGAACCCATCAGTGACAAACATCAACTGTGGATATTATAGTTATCTGTGACACTGAGGTGTTAGAACACCACCAATTCACTTTTATATGAGTAAGATTTGCTTTATAGAAAAGAACAGTGTACATATGCTTTTGATAAATACACTTAGTCTAAGACAAAATTTAAGATTACTTTTGAGTTTGTACCAGATGTCAAAAAGTAGTCATTTCCTAGTATTCACAAACTCAGCAATACTGACTGCATACTTTTTCTTTCCACCACTCCAAATACTCTCCTCCTCAACAGCATTTCTCTTCTCTAAGCACCCATAAAAAGTACCCCAAATATCATACAAATACTGCTGTTAACACTATCACTGCATTCATATAACCCTTTTAAAAAATCAGAACCAAACTACAGAATATTTGACAAAACATCCCAGCTGGGCTCTTAAACCAAAGGCATTACTGTTAAAATCTTTAGTACATTAACTGGAAAATTCAAACATCATGCTTCAGAAAAATATAATACAGTTCTGGCTGTAAGTAATTCAAATGAACAGTATAATTTAGGCTTATCATGCACTTCTGTAATAAAGCAGGTAACCACATAACACAGAAAGGGAGGGTCAACTTATGGATGGGTTGTGTTTTTTTATTTTTTTAAAGATTTTATTTATTTATTTGACAGAGAGAGACACAGCGAGAGAGGGAACACAAGTAGGGGGAGTGGGAGAAGCAGGTTTCCGGGCGAAGCAGGGAGCCTGATGCAGGGCTCAATCCCAGGACCCAGGGACCACGACCTGAGCCGAAGGCAGACGCTTAACGACTGAGCCACCCAGATGCCCCAGATGGGTTGTGTTTTAAAAGATCACTTATAACTTGAGTGTAAGCTTGATTTTGAAACTTAAGATGCCTTTCTCATAAAACCAAAGATATAAACAATAATATTAAACCTGTAATGCAAATGAACTACAGTACACAATTCTAACATAGCACTCTTCTTAAGCATATTTCCATACCAAACTCTTAACTTTTTATTCATTGTTGTAATTCTAGAATCTAGCACAGCTGATGACACAGAGTAGGACTTTTTGGTGAAGTACTGAATAGCAACAACTCAATGATATGAGAAACTGGCTTGTCTAGAAAACCTTACCTATCTTAATTATATCAGACAACCAAAAGACAAGGGGGAAAAGCTTCTTCCAAAAGAGATATGTGAAAAAGATTCTTAACACCAGGGTGAGAAAGCTCTGATCTAAACCAATTGTGGCAATTTCCATTCTACCTGTCAATGTGTGGCTTAGCTATAAGCATCTGATGCAATTCCAGCCAGTAAGACAAGAGTCTAAGTTTGCTGGGAAACTAAGCACTGGGAAAAGTGTTTCTGGGAAAGGTTTTCTGGTTGATGAAAAAAAGACACCTAAGTGGGGGTGCCTGGGTGGCTCAAGTCATGATCCCGGGATCCTGGTATCGAGCCCCGCACTGGGCTTCCTGCTCAGCGGGAAGCCTGCTTCTCCCTCTCCCACTTCCCCTGCTTGTTTCCTCTCTTGCTGTCTCTCTCTCTGTCAAATAATAAATAACATCTTTAAAAAAAAAAAAAGACACCTAAGTGAAATCATCCCCCCACCACCTTTTTTTCCAGGCAACTCTGGGTTTGGGTTTGTCAAGTAAAATGATGGCAGCCATCAGGACCATGAAGGAGGTGACAGCCTAAGAAGACAAACCAACAGATTAAGAATGGTTGCATTAAATGACAGAAAGAATCTGGGTCTTTGGTGATGTTATGCTTGAATAAATCCTAAAACCGTATTACTACGTTGGATCTTTTTATTATATTATATTATATTATATTATATTATATTATATTATATTATATTATATTATATATTATATTAAATCCTTTTATTGTTTTCAATTACCAAAAGTAACCCAGCAAATACCATGATTCAGAAACTAATTTACAACATTTACTTCCATGAATTCAACTGTTATTTATACAATGATAACTCATCTAAATTTATATCTCAATCCAGATGCTTCTTTTGACCTAGATACATATTTCTGAAGTACTAAATATTAGAAGAAATCAAACAATCAACATACTCAAATCAAACAATCAAAATACCCAAAATGTGGAATTCCACAGAGACAGAAAATAGATTAATGGTTGTCTGGGACTGGGGGTGGAGGGTGGGAATGGAGAAATACACCAAAATGATGATCTACAAAAGAAAAAAAGGGGCAAATTAGAATTCATCAAAATTAAAAATATTCCTTCAGCAAAAGGCCCTGTTAAAAAGATGAAAAGACAAGATACAGGATGGGAAAAGATATTTGCAAGCCTTATATGTGACAAAGGACCCAACTAGGATATACCAAATCTCAAAACTCAACGTTAAAAAAAAAATCACCAAGAAACTGGGCAAACAATATGAAAAGAGATTTCACTGAAGAAGATACCTGGATGGCAAATCAGCACATGAAAAGATACAGTCAACAACACTAGCCATCAGGGAAATGCAAATTAAGACCCGGCTGAGATATCACTATATACCTACTGGAACAACTAAAATAAAAAACATGACAATACAAAATACTGGCAAGAATATGAAGAAAATAAATCTTTCAGACGTTGTTGGTGAGAATGTAAAATGGCACAGCCACTTTGGAAAATAGTTTGGAAGTTTCTTTAAAAATGAAATACACACTTAAATGTAACCAAACACACTCATGGTTGCAAAGAAATGAACATGAATATTAGCAGCAGTTTTATTTTTAATAACCAAAAACTGGAGAAAACAAAACGTCCTTCAAAAGGTGAATGGTTAAACAAACTGGTATATCCACACAACAGAATCCTACTCAGCAATAAAAAGGGGTAAACTTAGTGATACACAAAACAACTTGGGTGAATCTCAAAGGATTAGGCTGAGTGCAAAAAGGTCACATACTATATGATTCCATTTATAAAACACTCTCTAAATGACAAAATCATACAGATGGAAAAAAAAAAATAAACCCTCATGGCTGCCATGGTGGGAGACAGCTGTATGTGCAGCACAAGGGAGATCTTTGTAGTGACAGGATCTGTGTCTTGATGCTACACATCTACATGTATTTTTAAATGGCACAGCACTATATATATA